TAAAAATACTGATTAATTATTAAAAAAAAAAAAAAAAAATAAGTTTTAAAAACTAAAAAAAAAAAAAAAAAAAAAAAAAAAAAATATGCAAGACACAAGTTATTGAACTCAATTTGCAAATGAGATCAGACAATTATAAGTCTAAGTTCTCAGTCCAAAGGGGTCAGAATATCAATGCCTGTCTTCTTATCTCCAAAATTGATGTGCTTTTCTCTTGAGGATGAAGCCTCCCAGGTGAAAAATGTTATGCAGATGATTTGTATCAGGGATACAGTTTATAAAATGAACATTTGGATCAATTTTCCAATTTTGAAGATATCTTTCTCTACCCAAATGCATAAAGCAGAGTGACTCCAAGTATGGGCTCAAAGTCACTGTGACCTATGGTAGAGTCCCACTTCTGATATTAATTAGTCAGACCTCCTCTAGTAAATCATTTAAATTCTCTAATAATCAGGATTTATTCTTACCTGTAATATGGGAGTAAATTGTTCTAATTAATAGAGTTCTAAAGAAATTAATAAAAATCATGTCCTTAAATATATAGCCCAAAGAAAATGAGCAACAAATGATCACATTTTCTATAGGTTCACATAAAAGTAGAATTGAAAGGGTATCTGCTCACTAATGTACCTGAGCATGCATCTACAAATGGTCACATCCCCATTTGATAGCTGCTATGCTGCTTATTGTGCACATGTACCCCATTCTCTACTCCAGTCTACTCTCTGGCTTCCCTGTTCTGTGCTGGGCCTCAGAAGACTGATCTCTACAGAGAGTGTTATCCAGGCTTTTAGATGAGTTTGCCCATGGGAGATGCCAGCTGGGGATTGAGGAATAGTGAAGACAGTTCAGAGTATTTGGGCCTCCATCTCCTACCTCCCAAGCTTCTGGCCCTGACTGAGTCCCTCCTTTTGGGAAACATGTTCTTATCCCTCTCATGCATCTCCATTGATGTAGCACCCCTTTCCTCTTTCCCCTTATGTTAAGGAGTTGGACTTGCTTCCCACTGTGCTGGAAACCCCTGATCCCTCAACAACTTCTTGGCTTCCTTAATTCTGCCCAATCTTTTGAATACAGTCCCTTGATTCAATTGTTTTCACTTCAACTCTTTAAGCTTGTCATCTGTTTCCTGCCAAGAAACTGACTACTTCAAGTGACTTCCCTACATTGTAAATACATGTATGATTAATTGGGGATACTTTATCCTGTCAGACTGTACTCTTCTTAAAGACAAGGTGTATAATTTTTAAAAATTAAATCTCCTTTCCCACATTACGAGGAATTTTTAAAAAACATAACAAGCATTCCAGGAATATCTACTGAATAAATTAACACGTGAGCAAATTCTAAACTATTATAGCTAAGCTACAACCGATTTTTATGAGAAAGGTTACTGAAAATTTAAAATTTATTCCCCTACTTTCTATTTCTGTGCTGTGTAACTGAGTGTGCTGGCTGTCTCTTAAATGTTCTCCAATACTTGCTCTCTCTCTCGAAAAATACACTTCCCAGATTCTTCTGAAAGCAAGTTTCTAGAAACAGTTTTACTTCCTCCAGTAAAGTATGCTTGTGGAAAAGTTGGAAGCAGAAGAAAGATGATCTTGTCCAAAAGCAGCAGATGGGTGGGCTTTCAGTGGCCTTTAGATACCTTCCTATGAATCAGCCACAAGGTTACAGCAGAACCACAATGACCTGGGCCACTTTCTGAAGTCATTGACTTGCATAAAATTAACAACTTCAGTTTTTTTTTAAAATCTGAGAGCAAGCTTCAGCCTTTTGAGACTGCCCCTATTCTAGACCTTTCAGTGGTGTGTAAATTGCCCAGTCTTAGGTATCCTGTTATAGCAACACAAAACAGACTAAAACAGATACACTTTCACATAGAGTAGGAGCTCCTACCATTTGTAGGAACTGGAAGGTACTGGCAGGGATGGGAGAACATCTGGTGAATCTGGGATCCACATATTCAGGAGCACTTTGCCTGAACTCAGCAGGGCAGAGAGTGTGTCAGTAAAGAACTAGAAACATCCCTGGATCTTGGCTAAAGCTTGGTGGCAGTCCCACTCTTCTCTCCCTATTGCACCCTCAACTGTGACAGGAAGGTTTGGGTATAGAAAACCAGTGACTCTGCAGGGCTGTGCCTAAGCTGCTGGCACAGAGATACAGGGCAGAGTCCCCCAGCTCCAAGGAGCTCACGTTCAGCTCTGAATGATAGTCACCAAACTGTTGAGCCAAAAATCGGTGAGGGATGTTTCCTTTCTCGTTCTCCATCTTTTCATAATATGAAATGAGGAACTGGGGGTTCTGACCCGGAACCTGCTGGTACCAGTACACACTCTTGTGTCCAGAGATGGGGTAGCATTTCAGAATGGCCATTTCTCTCTTTACTTTGATCAAGTGTCGTGGAGACTGGATGACTCCAGAATCCACTGAACCTGTGGAAGAAGAAGACAGATGCTGAAGAACTAGGTCCAGAAAGAATTTGATACTCCAGTCACAGTCAAAAGCTGTGGAGGCCCGACCTGTGCTCAGGGCTCACCTGCTACCAGGATAAAAAGAGTAACACAGCAGAGGAGCCTGGTGCTCCAGGTAGAGTCAGGCAGTACAGGACAGGGCATCTTCCTGCTCAGGTCGCTGGTCTCCTGGGGTGAGAGAACAGGAGTTTTGCTCCTCTCTTTCCCATATTTGGAGGATGTGCCTGTGATGTCACTGTTCTGATGTTGCTGTCCTTGTAGGGTCCTGTAAGCACCTGTCATCCCCTGACGCAGGCCTTCCCCCATTCTGTCCAGCGTTCTACAGGTAGAAAGAGCTGACTGTACTGAGTGAGGCAGGACAGGGTTTGTGGCAGATGGCCCTCCCCACAACTTCCCCAATTTTTCTCCGAGGCAGGTGCTCCTTTGTTTATACATGGCTTAGGTTGTCCAGGCTGCTCACCGGAACCCTCATCATACACCCTCTCAAATGCAGGCTCCTAGAGAGGCCTCCACTGACACAAGGCTGCAGTTCATGGCTCCCTGCCATGACAAACACACATGCATTGACACCTCCTGTGCCAGCACTATCTCTGGTTCATCAAGTCACATCCCTGATGCAGACACCAAAGCCAAGACTGTTTCCATTAACGCTCCCTGTCTCAGACGGAGCCATCAGTGGCCCATCCAGTGGATCCAGAGTGCCCTCAAGTGGCCAGTTGTGCAGTTCCTAGGATGTAGCTCTATTGATGCTGTCCAAGGAGGCTCAGTGCTTTCTAAACTAGGTATCAGGACCGGCCACAACACAGCACATTTGCTGATTTGAGGTTTACCTGCCTTAAAGTCAACTTTTGCACATGTAGCGAGGGAGGCATAAGGCAAACATTTTTCCAAACAAGGAATAAATTTCAAATCTTGCCAATTAGTGGTGTAGGAAGGGTGATACCATCCAATCATTAAATGCCAGCTGCAGCTGCCCTAGGAATGAGATAGAGTCTAGAAACATATATATAATACATATTTTACATATATACATATACATATATATATATATTTTTCCACACATACACACCTTGGTCAACTCTTGTTTTATATTGAATTGTCTTTTTTTATAATTGATATGTAAGGAGCTATTTATATTATGGATCCACCTCTTTCGTAGATATATATGTTTTTGTCTTAATAGTATATAATTTGATGAACAATTTGGATAAAAAATAATGTACTTTTAATCTTTGCCTACCCCACAATCATAAAAAGAGTCTGCTATGTTTTCTTCCAGAAGATCATCCCAGAATTCTTGTGTCATATTAGCTTTTGTGCATGACAAGGGCCAGCAAAGTTTTTCTGTAAGGGACCACATAGTAAACATTTTAGTTTTGCGCACCAGGTGATCTCTGTCCTGACCATGCAACTCTGCCATTGTAATGCAGAAGCAAGCACAGACAACATGTGACTGTTTTCTGATAAAACTTCATTTCTGGATACTGAGATTGAAATTTTACATAATTTTCATATGTCACAAAATGCCATTGTTTTATTTTTCTCAGCCATTTAAAAATGTAAAATAATTGTTAGCTTCTGAGTCATATGAAAACAAGCAGAGGCCTGATGTGGCCCACAGTCCATAGTTTGTCGGCTTCTAACTTGTAGAGTGAGATATGGCTTGTGATTCATTATTTTTCTGTATCAATAAACAGTTTTTCTGGTATCACTTGCCAAAAAGACTACTTATCTCTTCTTTTTGTGCAACTTTTTAATCTGAGGATTAATCTGGGGATTTCAATATGCAACTTTGACTTACCACAGTTTACCCGCATACGTATTCTACTATGAACACTTAATCATAAGTTTTTCATAAATGCCTTTTTAAAGGTGAAGAAAGTTTCCTATTACTCTGAATCTGCTCACAGTTTTTATCAGAAAGGTACATTAAATTGTATCAAAATTTTTGAACATCTATAGATATGATCATATCATTTTCTTTTTTTAAAGTACAGATAGGATAAATTACATAGATTATATTTTGAATATGAGACCAACTGTGCATTACTGAGATAAATCCCATTTGATCATGTTATATTATCTTTCTTAGATATTGTTGGACTCAATAGGCTGTAATATTAAAATAATAATTGGATCTGTCTTTAGTTTTCCCTCTAACTACCGTTTTGTAAACATCCTATCAATTTATGTATGCATGTATGTATATATGCATGAATATATTTAAATAGCTTTAGAGGGTACATATCGTTTTTGGTCACATGGCTGCACTGTACAGTGATGAAGAAGTCTGGGTTTCACTGTACGTACCACCCCCACCTGAGCACATTGTACCTGATAGGTGATCTTTAAAAATTCCTCCACCCCTACCCCTCCCACTTCTGAATCTCCAATGCCCATTATATCATCCTCTATGCCTTTGCAGATCCTTAGTTTAGCTCCCACTTATAAGGGGAAACGTGAGGTATTTGGCTTTCTGTTTCAGAGTTGTTAGTTCATGTAGGATGATGTTCTCCAGTTCTAGCCAAGTTGCTGCAAAAGTCATTTTTTCATTATTTTTGATAGCTGATTGGTATTCTATAGTTATATATATAACATTTTTATTTTTCACTAATCAGTTGATGTCCAGAAGAGTTTTTTTTAGGTTTTCTTCTAGGATTTTTATGGTTTCAGGTCTGACATTTAAGTCTTTAATCCACCTTGAGCAAATATTCATACGTGGGGAGAGGAATCAAGTTTTACTTTCCTGCATGTAGCAGAAAAATTTCCCAGCACCATTTAGTTGAATAGAGTGTCCTTTTCCCAGTGTGTGTTTTTGTCTGCTTTGCCAAAGATCAGTTGGTTGTAGGTATTTGAGTTTATTTCTGAATTGTCTATTCTGTTCCATTGGTCCATATGTCTGCTTTTATACCAGTGCCACGGTGTTTTAGTTACTACAGACTTGTAGTATAATTTGAAGTAGGTAATGTGATGCTTCCAGCTATTTTTTTTTCTTTTTTTTTTTTTTGCTTAGAATTGCTTTGGCTATTCTGTTTCTTTTTTGGTTCCTTATGAATTTTAGGATTTTTTTCTACTTTTGTGAAAAATGACATCGGTAGTATGACAGACATTACATTGAATCTGTAGATTACTTTGGGTGATAAGTTCATTTTAACAATGTTGATTCTTCTAGTCCAGAAGCATGAAATATTTCTCCACTTATTTGTATCCTCTACAGTTTCTTTTATCAGTGTTTTGTAGTTCTCCTTAAAGAGATCTTTCATCTCCTTGGTTAAATACATTCTCAGGTATTTTAGCCTTTTGGCTACTATTGTAAGTGAAATTGAATTCGTGATTTGATTCTCAGCTTGGTCGCTATTCATTTATAGCAGCTTTCCTGATATGTGTGTGTGGATATTGCTTCCTGAAACTACCAAATTCATTTATCAAGTCCGGGAGTCTTTTAAAGGAGTCTTTAGGATTCTCTAGTTATAAGAACATATTGTTGTCATATGGATATAGTTTGATTTCTTCTTTTCCAATTTGAGTACACTTTGTTTCTTTCTATTGTCTGATTGCTCTGGAAAGACCTCCAGTGCTATGTTGAATAGAAGTGGTAAAAGTGGACATTTTTTTGCCTTGTTCCAGTTCTGAGGGGGAGGGCATTATACTTTTCATCATTTAGGAAATTGGCTGTGGGTTTGTTCTTATATGGCTTTTATGAATCTGAGGAATGTTCCCTCTATGACTATTTTGCTGAGGGTTTTTATCATGAAAGTATGCAGAATTTTATCACATGCTTTGTCTGCATCTATTAAAATGATCATATGATTTTTGTTTTTAATTCTGTTTATGTAGTGGATCACATTTGTTGACTTGCATATATTGAACCACCTTGCATTTCTGAGATAAATTCTAGTTGTTATAAATTTTTTAAAAAATGTGCTGGTAAATTCAAGTTGCTAATATTTTGTTGAGGATTTTTGTGTCTATGTTCATAAATGATATTGGTCTGTAGTTTTCTTTTCTATTGTGTCTTTTCCTGGCTTTGGTATCAGAGTGATACTGGCTTCGTCGAATTAGTTAGGAAGAATTCCCTCCTCTTCAATCAACAGCTTTAGTAAACTCAGTAGCATTTCTTCTTGAAAAGTATGGTAGAACGCAGCTATGCGTCGTTCAGGTCCAGGACTTCCTTTAGTTGAGAGACTTTTAACTACTGTTTCCATCTTGCTACTTATTATTGGTCTGTTCAGGGTTTCTACTTCTTCCTGATTCAAGTTGAGGGGGTTGTATGTTTTCCAAAAATTTATCCATTTTCTCCTGCTTATTTGCATAGAGATATTCATAATAGTCTTGTATGATCTTTTGCATTTCCATTGTGTCAGTTGTAATGTCTCCATTTTCACTTCTGATTGAGCTAATTTGAATCTTCTCCCTTTGGTAATTAATCTACCTAGTGGTCTATCAATTTTGTTTCTCTTTTTGAAGAACCAATTTTCTATTTCATTGTTCTTTGTATTTTTTATATTTCAATTTCATTTAGTTTTGTTATTTCTTTTCTTCTGTTAACTTTGAGTTTGGTTTGTTCATGTTTTTTCAGTTCCTTGCGATATAGTGTTAGGTTGTGGATATACAATCTTTTAGTCTTAATAATGTAGGCCTCAAGTACTATAAATTTTCCTCTGAGTATAGCTCTGGCTGTACCTTAGAGGTTTTGATTACTTGTTTCATTGTTGTCATTCATTTTGAGGAGTCTTTAAATTGTCTTGATTTCATTATCGACCCAAGGAACCTTCAGGAGCAGATTGTTTAATTCCCATGTTTTAGTTTGGTTTTGTGGGTTCTTTTTGGACTTATTTTCTAGTTTTATTCCACTGTGGTCTGAGAAGGTGTTTGATATGACTTCAATTTTTAAAATTTTATTTATTGAGACTTGACTTGTGGCCCATCATATGCTCTATCTTGGAGATTGTTACATGTGCTGATGAGAAAAATGTATATTCTGAGGTTTGTTCTATAGATGTCTGTTTATTTCAGTATTTAGAACTCCTTTGAGTATTTCTTATACAGCCAGTCTAGTGGTGATAAGTTCCCTCAGGGATTGCTTGTCTAAAAAAGATGTCATTTCTCCTTTATTAATGAAATTCAGTTTTGCATGATACAAAATTCTTGACTGGCTGTTATTCTGTTTGAGGAGATTT